CCTTTAAGAGGGTGCCTGAACTTTCAGCTACCACTCCCTGGCAGACAGCACCCCGCTGCTTTCCACAGGTAGATGTTATGTGGGCACCCTCCTCAGATGTGGCCCTCTCTGCTGAGGATGTTATGTGGGTACCCTCCTCAGTTTGGTGCTCTCTGCCGGGGAGCCCAGCTTCGGGATTAGATCCCAGAGTTCTCAGTGGCCCCCTCCCCATCCCCCCAGCTGAGATATCTCTCTGGGACTTCAGTTGCTGTCTGTGGGTGCCTGGCCAGCCCTTTCATGCCTCTGCCCTTCCTACCAGTCTCTATGCGTCTCCACCTTCGGTCCTTGGGTATCAGGGTTCTCTCAGGTGAGTTTTCTGTTGATTATTCAGGAATCCTTTCTGTATTTCAGTTGTAATTCCAGCTTGTTCCTGGGAGCATGTCTGTGCAGCATCCTCCTACTCTGCTGTCCTGTATAAATCTTGCTTCTTTGCTTTGCTTTTCTGTAAACTTCACTCCAGTTAGAAACCTTGCTCACCCTCCACCATCCTTTCTCTTAATTGTTCAGGTCTGTATCTATGTAGCAGTGTCAGAGTGGCCAGCCCACACCTGGGAGAGTACAGGACTCATGTATATTTGTTTGGTCTTTTTCCTACAGACTCCACTCATCTCCAAAGTTAAATAGTCAACACCCTCCCCTACACCTTCACTCCTGGGTTTCATGCATTTGTAGTGCACTTAGATTTTTGGGGCCGTATTCTGCATTCAATTGGGTATCCCTTGACCTGCTAAATGATATTTTAAAAATTCGCAAACATTAAAGTTCATGCTGAAACTTTTGTGGGATTTGACGAATGCATGGCATTGTATACCACAATGACAGTGTCATACAGGATCGTTTCACCACCCAGAGGTCCCCAGGTTTGACTAATCACCGCTTCTTCCTGGCAGCCACTGACCTTCCCGCCCTTGCTGTACCTTCCCTCTTCCTTTTTCCAGAATAATTGGAGTCACACAGAGTGCAGCCTTCCTCAGGAGGGCTTCTTCCACTTCGCAGTTGCAGTTAAGATTCCTCAATGTTTTTTCACGATTTGAGAGCTCACGTTTTTTTTATCACGGAATACTACTACATTCACCTATTGAAGGACATCTTGCTTCCAGTTTGGGGCAATTACAAACTAAAACTTCTGTAAACAGCCCTGGCCGGTGTGGCCCGGTGGATAGAACGTCGGCCTGTGGACTGAGGAGTCCTGGGTTCGATTCCAGTCAAGGGCATGTACCTTGGTTGCAGGCACATCCCCAGTAGGGGCTGTGCAGGAGGCAGCTGACCAATGTTTCTCTGTCATCGATGTTTCTAACTCTCTATCCCTCTCCCTTCCTCTCTGTAAAAAATCAATAAAATATATATTTTTTAAAAACACAAAACTTTTGTAAATATTTGTTTGCAGGTTTTATGTGGACAGAAGTTTTCATATCATTGGGGTGAATACCCAGGTGGTATGAAAAGACTGTTTAGCTTAGCAGAAAGTTGACAAACTGTATATTAGCACGCCTGTGCCATTTGCAATCCCGTCAGCAATGAGTGAGTTCCTGATGCTCACATCCTCTAAGCAGCGGTTCTCAACCTGTGGGTCGCGACCCCTTTGGCGGTCAAATGACCTTTTCACGGGGGTCGCCTAAGACTATCCTGCATATCAGATATTTACATTACGATTCATAACAGTAACAACATTACAGTTATGAAGTAGCAACGAAAATAATTTTATGGTTGGGTCACAACATGAGGAACTGTATTTAAAGGGCCAGAAGGTTGAGAACCACTGCTCTATAGCAATTGACATTGTCAGTTTTGGATTTGTTTTTTGGCCACTCTAATGGGTATCTACTAGTATCTTGTTCCAGTGTGCAGTTCCCTAGTGAAAAATGATGTCCAGCAGCTTTTCATATGCTTTTTTGTTATCTCTCTGTCTTCTGTTTTAAGTTTATGTTCAGATCTTTTGCCTAAAATTTTAAATCCTCACTTAAGGATATGTTTCTTGAATTGAGAGAGAGAAGGGAGAGAGAGAGAAACACCCAAGGGAGCCTCCTGTCCATGCCCCAACTGAGGATGGAACCCTCAACGTAGGCATTGCCCTGACCAAAAATTGAACCTACAACCTTTTGGTGTATGGATGATGCTCCAACCAACTGAGCCACCCTTTTTGGGCTCTTTTGCTTATTTTTAATTGGATTGTTTGTTTTCTTATTGAATTTTAATAATTTTTTTGTACATTTTGGATACTAGTCCTTTATCAGATATGTGTTTGCAAATAGTTTTGCTCAGTTGGTGGCTGGTCTTGATTCTCTTAAGTGTCTTTTGCAGAACAATAGTTTTTGGTGTTGTCTCTAAAAAGTCATCACCAAACCCAAGGTCATCTAGATTTTCTCCTATATTTTCTCCCATGAGTTTTCTGGTTTTGTATTAGGTCTGTGATCCATTATGAGCTAATACTTTTGGTGGAAGGTTTAGTATGTGTCTTAATTTTGTCTGTTGGTTTGTTTTGCTTATGGATGTCCAGTTGTTCTAAAACCATTTGTTGAAGACTTATCCTTCTCCATTGAATTATCTTTGCTCCTTTGTCAAACAAAGATCAGTTGATTGGATTTGTATGGGTCTGTGTCTGGCTCCTGTTCTGTTCCATTGACCTGTCAATGCTACACTGTCTTGATTGCTGTAGCTTTCTAGTAAATCTTGAAATTGTGTCATGTGAGTTCTTCAACTTTGTTCTTCAGTATTATGTTGGATCTTCTAGGTAATTACCTTTTTATAGAAACCTTAGAATTAATTGTCAACATCTATAAAATAGCTGCTGGGATTTTTATTGGAATCACATTGAATCTATAGATCAATCAAGATGGGATGAACTGACATCTTAACATTATTGAATCTCCCATAAATATTGAATATCTATTTAGATCTTTGATTTTTTAAAATCAGATTTTGTAATTTTCTGCATGTAGATATTACTCATCTTTTGTTAGATTTCTACCCAATAAAAATACCATTTGCATCCAGCTGGTGTGGCTCAGTGGTTGAGCATTAACCTATGAACCATGAGGTCAGGGCACATGCCTGGGTTGCAGGCTCAGGAGCAACCGATCGATGATTCTCTCTCATCATTGATGTTTCTATCTGTCTCTCCCTCTCCCTTCCTCTCTGAAATTAATTTAAAAAAATACCATTTGCTGTTGTCAGTGGTATTTCCATTTTTGTTTCAAATTCCAGTTGCTCATTGCTGAAATATAGAAAAGCAGCTGTCATATTAATGTTGTGTACTGCAGTCTTGTTATACTTGCTTATTAGTTCCATAAGTTTTTTGTTGTTGTTGGTTCTTTGGGATTTTCCCCAAAAAAAGACAAGCATGCCCTGACCGGTATGGCTCAGTGGATGGAACGTCGGCCTGCGGACTAAAGGGTCCCGGGTCAAGGGCATGTGCCTTGGTTGCCGGCACGTCCCCAGTGGGGGGTGTGCAGGAAGGAGGCAGCTGATCGATGTTTCTCTCTCATCGATGTTTCTGGCTCTCTATCCCTCTTCCTTCCTCTCTGTAAAAAATCAATAAAATATTTTTAAAAAAATTTTTTAAAAAAAGATAAGCATGTCATCTCTGAACAAAAACAGTTTTATTTCCTCCTTCCCTATCTGTACACCTTTTGTTTCCTCCTCTTGTCTTATTTCACACGGTGTCGAAAATGCCACAAAAGCATTTAGCTTCTCATCAGTAAATATGATCTTTGTAGATATTCTTTGTCAAGTTAAAGAAGTTCTTGATTTTGTGGAGAGTTTTTTAAAAAAATATGCAGAGATGTTGGATTTTGTCAAATGCTTTTTCTGCATGAATTGATGTGGTTATATGATTTTTCTTCTTTATCCTGTTGAAGTGGTGTATTTCATTGGTTGATTTTCAGATATTGAGCCAGCCTTGCATACCTGGAGTAAGTCCCATTGCTCCTGGTGTATAATTCATTTTGTATGTTGTGGGATTCACATTGCTAATATTTTGTTGAGGATTTTTATATGGTAGATTTTGGTTTGTAGTTTTCCTTTATCTGGTTTTGGTATTAGGATAATGCTGGTCTTATTGAATGAAGTAGGAAATGCTCCCTCTGCTTTTTTTTTTTTTTTTAAAGATTGTGGAGATTATATTCATGAGTCCCTAACACTGAGTAGAATTCACCAGTGAAACCATCTTGACCTGGTGTTTTCTTTTTTGGCAGGTTATTCATTGACTCAATTTCTTTAATATAGACTTATTCAAATGATTTATTTCTCCTTGTGTGAATTTTGGCAATTCCATTTCATGTAAGTTATCAAATTTGTTGGCATGAAGTTGTTCATAGTATTTCCTTATTTTCCTGAGACCGCACAGTGGACAGAGCTGGGGACTCCGCATGTGCACGTGTGCACACACATGTGTTTCCTAGTACATGTTTATGACAGGCACGTTCATGGACACGTTGTCCACATTTCTTCTTGTGCAAATCTACTATATGAAAGTGAGTGAGCCTCCTGCTGTGCCCAGTATGTCCTGCTGCTGCCCAACACCCCAGTCTTCTTCCCACGTTCGCTTCTCCCTGCTCTCCCGCTGAGAACCCGACTGGCTGCATATCTGGTCCGTCCTGCTGCGGCTGCGCAGCTCCCGCCGGCAGGTGCCATCCTGGCGCAGCCCCACCTCCCGCTGCCCACACGCCCCTGCCTGCAGCGCCCTCCATCTCTCCCTTCTGTCTTTAGGGAATTAAAGAAAGAAGGGGTGCGTGGGTTTTTATAACAGTTATTCCTTAGGCTGCTCAGTTTTTGCCTCCTTCCTGGATCGCTCCTGAATTACAGATTATTAAGGGCTTTTGAAAGCTGTGTGCGGGGTAAAAGGGCTTCGACTTTTATTTATTCATTCATTCATTCATTCATTCCTCACCCGAGGACATCTTTTTAAATTGATTTTAGAGATAGCAAAGGGGAAAGCGAGAAAGAAAGAAGGAAGCATCGACATGAGAAACTTCGATCGGTTGCCTTGGGTAATCGCCCCGATCAATCAGGGCTTGAACCTGCATCCCGGGCATGTGCAGTGAGCAGGAGTGGAACCTGCCGCTTTTCAGGCACAGACGCTGCTGCACCCGGGCAAGCGGCTTCTCCTCAATGCAGAGCCTGAGCGGGGGCTGCGTGGAGGTCAGTTCCCACTCAGAGGGCGCCCTTTTCTTCCTTCGCAGGTCGCCTGGTGGGAGCCCTGGATGCGGTGCTGGACTCCAGCGCACGGGTGGCTCCGTTCCGGATCCTGCTCCAGGTGCCCGGGTCCCAGGTCTGCTCTCCGATCGCGTGTGGTGAGTGACCGAGTGGGTCCGATGTTGAGGGGGCTGTGGCCGCGGGTGAGTTCTGTTCTGTGCAGAGCCTTCAGATCCTAAGGCCCGAGCCGGGGAGGAGCTGCAGGTGGTGCGGCTGGAAGGCAGCCCCTGACCCCGCCTCTTCTCTGAATGCTGTTCTGGTTCTTTAAGCATCAAACGCACATGGAGGCGATGAGCTGGACAGCTAGCTGGACCCGCTCCGCTCTCCAGTGGCTTGCTGCTCCGGGCTGCTGTGCTGGTGACAGGGAATTGAGCCATTTGCTTCTTAATCTGTGTCTAACATAAACCTGCTCTGGGCACCTGCACCTGCTCTGGTGGAACATCCAGGGCTGTGTCCGAGGGGGCTCGGCTCCACAGTGCACCGAGTCGCTGGTGCAGGCTGGTCTCACTTCCCATCCTGCCCATGAGGGCCCGCCCGTGCCCGCCTCCCGTACCAGCGCCTAGGGCGAGGCATCCTCACGTCTGAGAGGCCCCTTCTTCTAAAAACCAGAACCAAGAGGTGTCTTTTTAATTACACAGGCAATACATGTTCACCGTCCAGAATTAAAGCAGGTAGGAGAGAAGGAAAACCAAATCCTTTCCGGCCCTTTCTCCGTTGCGAGTCCTGTCCACATTCTGCACGTGTGCAGTCTGGCTTCGCTCTTTCTCTGCTGGAGACCGCGGGCTTCAGTGGCACTCGCAGTCCTCAGCCGCCCTGGATACTTTCACTCGGAATGAATACAGAAAAGAGCAAGGAGAAAACTGTCGTCCGTGTCTCCCATCCAGGACGAACCCCGTTAACGCCTCGGGGTGTCATTTTTTCCACCCTACTTTGTTTTGTTTTTTACTTTTATTTTTTATGTGTTTTTATTAATTTCAGAGAGAGCAAGGGAGAGTGAGAGAGGGATGGAAACATCAGTGATGAGAATCATTGATCACCTGCCTCCTGCACGCCCCCCACTGGGATGTGCCCCATCTGGGAATCAAACTGTGACTTCCTGGTGATGGGTCAACCACTGAGCCACGCTGGCCAGGCCATTTTGTTTTTAAATTAGGATAAGCCCATCTGTATTTGCATAAAATGATAAAAAGGGTGCATGTTTAATGTAAAGAGGTCGATTAACAGTGAAAGATACAGAGCGGAGTCGGTGGCATCTCTGCACTGGGACGAGGGAGCTCTGTTAGGGGTGCTGCAGCCTGGCACACTGGTCCCGGGCTGCAGGGAGAGGGCTCTGAAGCCAGCTTGCCCGGAGCTGTTCCTCATAAGAGCCTCACGCCTGCACTTGATTTCAATAAGAGAAGAGACACTGCAAAGCCGAAGAAATGTTAACTTCCAATAAATGTTTCTTTAACACAGGAGCTTATTTTCTAAAAGGGTCACTTAAGGTTAGGGGAGAGATTTTCGAAAGCTTCACAAGGTTAGGCTGTGGCTTTTGAAACAGTGTTTCCATTTTGACTTGAGGCCCATTCTGAGGCTTTCTTCTCCTTCCTTTCTCATTGTGAAAGTTTCCTTAATTTCACACTGTGAGTCCCGTTCTCTTCTCACCACTGTGCTTTCCACCAGTGTTTGGATCACTCCCCTATTTAAATTAATTTAATGCTTCTACTCAGGTGTGCTTTATTTTTAATTTTTGTCTTTTATTTAAAAATATATTTTTATTGATTTCAGAGAGGAGGGAGAAGGAGAAAGAGAGAGAAACATCCATGATGAGAGAGAATCATGGATTGGCTGCCTCCCTTACGCCTCCACTGGGGATCCAGCCCCACCATCCGGGCCTGTGCCCTGACCGGGAATTAAACTGCCACCTTTCTGTCCAGGGCAACGCTGCACACGGCCAGGGCGACAGTGGACTCTCAGTGGCACACGGCATTCACCCTGTAGCTGTGCCAGTTTACTCATCCGATCCTTTTTTAGCGACTTGTTTCTGATGTTTCAAGTATTTCAAAACCTGACACAAACGTCCAGACACTTAACTCTTCCAGGGCACTCGCGACCCCCCGTGCCTGCTCCACACCAGGTGTGTGCTTGCTGTCAGCACTTTCAGTTGGTGTGAGGGGCCCCCAGCCATGGGAAGGCAGACAGCAACCTGGAGTGGGCAGGTACAGGGGGGACAGGAACTAGGACAGCGAGGCAGGCAGGGCCGTGAGCACCGGAAGGGAAGTGCTGCATCAGGGATGTGTGATTAGAATGACCTCTCTCCCTGTCTCTCTCTGTCCCTCTCTGTCTCTCTGTCTCTCTCTGTCTCTCTCTCTGTCTATCTCTGTCTCTCTGTGTCTCTCTCTGTGTCTCTGTCCCTGTCTCTCTCTCTCTCTGTCTCTCTCTGTCTCTCTCTGTGTCTCTCTCTCTGTCTCTCTCTGACTCTCTCTCTCTCTCTCAATTACCTTCCTGGGACTGCAGCGACTTCACTGCCCCGCCCCAGCGGTGTCATCCCGGACCCGACTCAGGCAGGTCTGCAGGTGCTTTGCTGGCTCCTGCATCTGGAGCACAGCAGGCCCCGAGCAAGCGGTTCTTGTCTTGTCGGTCAGCTTTTCCTGCCAAGGAAGCGAGGGTGGACGGGCGGGGAGGGCATGTGCCCGGGCGTGTGGTATGGATTTAGGTACTTAGACCTCTTCTGGGAGTTATTTGGGCATCTTAACGCGGTGCTGTTGACTCACCATATTTAATATTTTATGTCTTGAGCACCGAGAAAGGATTCCTGTCCAGGGTTTCACATCTCAGATAAAGCAAATCCAGAAGGGCCGGCAGGGCCTGGGTGGCGCCGGGACGGGCGGGGCAGGAAGATGGTGCAGGGGTGACGATGTCTGCAGCAGGTTGGCTGCTTGCATGGCAGTGGGGGGCATAGGGCCTTGAGAACTGCTTTCTTGGGTGAACAGTGGCATTTGGCAGCAGCGACCTGTGGATGACTGAGGTTGGAAATAGAGGAGAGATAAGTTGCTATTGTGATTATTTTTTAACTTATATGGCCCAGACTCCCAGGCTTGGTCCCTGCTGGCTGCAGGAATGGTGGGCATTGAGCGGTGGGCGGGTTCGTGCCCTGTGTCTGCTCAGGCGACGGCTCGACACCCTGCAGCCGCTTCCTCTGTTCTCCCTCCATCCCCCCCACTTCTGACCACTGTCATTTCCTTTATTCTTTGCTTCCCCCCAATACAAGATCTCAGAGCCGTATTTGCCACTGCCCCTCTCATGCCGAGGACAGAGCCTGACATCCAGTGAGAGCAGAGGGCGGGCGAGGGTGGCGTGTGGGGAGGTCAGCGCACAGGCAGGACTCTTCCTGCGTGGGGTCAGCAAGGGGACCTGTCCCAGGCCGGGGGCTGGGGACAGGCAGAGGTTTGGGCTGAGCCACCAGGACCAGGGAGCAGTAGAAAAACTTCGCCATTTCTAGGAATATATCCTAAGAAACCTGAAACACCAATCAGAAAGACTGTTGCACCCCTATGTTCATAGCAGCACAATTTACAATAGCTAAGATCTGGAAATAGCCCAAGTGCCCCAAAAAACAGGCATCTTTTTTTTTTAAGCTGGGATTTTTATATCTTGTTGACAAAATGAAATTTTCATGCTTATGAAATGCCCCTCTGTCTCTCAAGTAATAACTTTTTGCCTTGATTCTTCTCTCTGGTGTTGATATGGTTAAGCCAATGTCTTTGGTTAATGTTTGCAAAGTATAATTTTCCATATTCCTCCTTTATGTCTGTGTTGTTTTTTTACAGAGTAATTTAACTATGTTTTTATTGATTTTGGAGAAAGAGGAAAGGAGAGGAATAGAGAGATAGAAGCATCCATTAGCTAATTCCTACATGTCCCTACTGGGGATTAAGTGCGCAACCTGGGCATTTGCCCTGACCAGGATCGAACCGAACCAGTGACCTCTTGGTTCATAGGTGGACACTCAACCATTTAGGCCACCAGCTGGCTAATCAGTGCGTTAAACTTTAGATGTTTTCTTCCAAAAAACACATGATGGGTTTTGGGGTTTTTTTATCCAGCCTGATAATCTTTTTCAAGTTTTTGGGTTGTTTTTATTTTTTTCTTTAAAGTCCATTGATTGTCACAAAGGTCCAGGGCATTTAACTAAGGAGAAAACAAATGTTCAACTGAGATCTGAGAACCCAGAGCAGTGAGCTGGCCACTGGGCATTCTGGGGAGGGTGGGAGTTCCTTCTCCCCATC